TGCAGACCCCGGACGTGGCGTTTAGGTCTGAGTCGTGGGGTTCAGAACTAAATTGCCCGAAGCTCTATAAATGCAAACCCTAAACCCTAAACCCCGAAATTGATACACCGTGGAGGAATCCTTTTCTTACGAAGTATTCGGTCCCTGACTCCTTGAAACCGAGGCTTCTGGCTAAACCTTAGCCCAGGCCTAGAACAAGAATCCTCATACATATATGTATATATGTGTGTGTATATATATGTGTGTATATGTATACATATATATATATATATATATATATAATATACATGGGGCCGTTATCTCAACCCTATATAGCCGCCTTGGAATCAGAAGAGGACGTTGTGGGGCTAGTATTTGTGATCGTTGGTGTACAACACTATTTTCAGTGATTTTGTTTGGTTCGAGCGGTTTTGAGTGTTTCTGCGTACGTTGGTCTTGCTTTTGGTGCGTGTGCGCACATGATTCTGCTTCCAGCTCCAACATCAACTCTGAGTTGTTTCTAACCACGTGGTTTGCATATGCACACCGGGACTGTCTATAAACGTTAAGGCTTGGCACGCCAGCCCTTCAGTGTTTTCAACTCCGTGTTTCCCGGGCTTAGCTCGTTAAACATAGTCCTGATGCCTCTCTAGTGTTTTGCCAAGGGTCCCAAGTACCTAATAATCATATACTCTCCAAAATCCCAAACTACATAACTACTCTCCTAAAACCGAGTACCAATCCTGAGCCCTCCGTCGTAGCACCGATTTGTGCTCTGGCTTTTTTTCGCTCGTGATAAGAGGAAAACGTATCAATTGACCAAAAGCGCTCGAGTATAGCAGAAAGCGCACGAGGCTAAACCGATAGGCTATAAGACAGCTCTTTTGGATTACTTTAGGGGATTGTTGGGCTTGTTAAGGGATTCCAGGTTAGCCCGCACAAACATACATGCTCGCATGTGCACTACCTGGACTTCTCCACTTCGATCGACTTTTTTCGCCGGGCACTCAGCTGGCCATGTCGAAGTGATCAACAAAGAGTCGTCGATACTGCATCAAAACACGAGTCATGCTTCGTATTGCCACCAATCGTGAGGATCCAATCCTCCGAGATATTCTAGACACCCTTCCCACCATATCTTCGTCGCTCCACGTCGCAAAGCCTCGTCAACGTTTGCATGGCTTTGGAAAGGCCGATAAGCATTAATTGTTTCGGACTGGATGCAGCTCAGTAGCAAACAGCATTGAGGCAATATTGTGGCAAGGAAGCATCGGCAGCTGCAAGTTGGAGCTGTATCTCCATGTTTTTCCTGAAGGGTTGTAAACTGTGATTAAGTTGGGGGCTAGCACTGAAGAGTCTCATCTTACTTTGGGTTTTAAAAGATGCTAATATGTTGCAAGTGGCAGAATATGGCCAAACAGGTGAAGCTTCGGTCGCATTTTGAACAAGGGCCAGCCCCTTTGTGCAGTCCATGTTGCCATTCCAACATAGCCCTCCTCAGTCATCTTTGGATATCAAACATACTATCCGAGTACGAGCTTTTTAGCATCCTGAACAAGGCACATAAGTATCCATGCATCCAAAAAGCCAAGAAGTTCCATCCACATTGCACTGCTTCTTCAGCTTCCGGCAATGGTATCCAAACCCCGTGACGATACAGAATTGTCATGAGGTTGTTCCCTTCCAAGAGAAGCCAAAGCAGCAACCCCAAGCCTTCATTCATATCCTAGGTGCATCGATCTAGACAACAGGAGAAGATTTAGGGTATCAGGTTTCCTAATAAAAACCTTTCGCTATCAACCGATTCTTAAGAGTGCCTTCGAAAAGCATCACCCTGCTCATGCTTAATGAGCGAAAGCTTTGCAGCCAACCATTTGGCCAGCAAGGCGACATCGTATGCCTTGCCGCAGCCGGCAGGGAACTGCCTCTGCCTGAGCAGACCCATATATTGTCTAGGTGGGGTTATGGAGTTAAGGGTTGAGGGGTTTAGGGCCTTAGGGATTTCGGGGTTTAGGGTCTAGGCTTGGATAGGCCATTGGGTTTACGTCCGATTCGCGATTTATGTAGGGAACGTAGGGAGACTTTGTTCACAGCTCGTAAGATTTTGCACGTACATCCAGATCAGCGAAGTTGCGATTTGATCTTGAAGGTCTTGAGTGAGAAGCTTTTCAAGCTTGATGTTCGGTTGTTTTGCACACACCACAAGCGAAAATCCTCGTATGCATTCTCCAGCTTGATGCTGATTGAGTCGCCATCGTAGCAATCAAACCGGCAAAGAAGCAAAATCGCTGAAGCACACAGATCCTTTCCGAATCCTAGATTCATGCAGTGCATGATGTCTGGTTGAATCCGTGCCGGGTCGTTCCCTCCAGGAATAGACCGCAATGGTGCAAATTTGTTTCTCTTGAATGGACTGGGGGCAACTCCAGAAAACGTACGAAGCTGCGATGTCGCACTGCAGTCCCACCAAGCCTTACTTATGTTTGTCAGATATAGAACTGTATTCACGTAAATGCATAAGACCATACTTAGCTGCTCGAACATTATATATATGTACATATTGGGCACTAGGATAACTTACTCGGTCGATCCAAGCTTCGTCCCCTGGGCAGAGGTGGCACTTTCTTTTGTTTGTAAATCCAACACCCAGATGATACGATTTTCGTAACATCGGCCAATCTCCTTTCGTGGCAACCAATGCCACCCAGAATGTTTTTGGCTTGCCTTCTACCTAACGATGAACAGAGATCTTAGTTTGGAACTTGACAGCTAACATTCATGGATTTTGGATATCAGCCAGCCTAATGCTGGCATCTAGAATACTAGCATAAGAAGTGGAACATCGAAACGATTTCAGAGTGATCAGCTTAGCTACCCGTACAGTTACCCCTCCATCGAAGAGCTCATTGAAGTCAGCTGCGATTGCCTCGAATAGTCCATCGATCGTTTTGTCGTTCTTGGCATAACAGGATCCAGGCATAATGGAATGCAGAAGCCTCGTACAATACGAATGCCTTTGATGCTCACGGAAATGCTCAACTGATGCATGGCTTACTGTATACACAAATATCTAGAAAAGGTATAAGTAAAATATCTCGCAGTAGCCCGTGCGTGTTCAGGCGATCCTCGCCCAGCCAAGGCACCACACACTGAAAGTTGTTAACGAGAACCGGGACTTTCGCCAAGCCCCTCCCCTCATCGGCGTGTATGCACATGGGTATCGTGCGGGCTCGTTCTTCTGCCGTCTTCTGACTGTAAATGGCGTGTGTCTCGTTGCTCGGGCGAAACCTTTCCCAGAACCTGCTGAAGACACCTTCAAAGCCGTCTTCCCAAGTGTGATATCCAGCTAGCAAGAACTGACCACCAGCTTTGCCCAAAATGAATTCCATCCAATCAGTGAGGCGAAGAATGGGATAGCTCACTTCCACACATCCACCCCCTTTCCTCCGAATTTGTAATTGTGTAGTAGAAATGGGAACCGGCAAAGTTCGACCTGCTCGATGAACGAACCTATGTAAATTCCGAGCAGCATTGTGGTACTTGCCAGTTCCCAACTTGGCGATGTGTTCGAGGTCCGGGTCGATGACACCTGTGGGGCGTGGCTAGGTATCGGCACAAGAATCGAGATTTAGACTTAGGGCTTATAGGTAGGTATTGTCTGGGGATCGGAAATCGTTGGGTGAGGGCTTACGGTCTCTGTATGGGCAATAACTGGGCTTCGGGTACTTCATAGGCTTAGCTTCGACTCGGGGTTAGTGCTTTAAGGTTATCTTGAGTTTCAAGTTTCGGGTTTGGGGCTGGTTTGGGGTTTAGGGTTTGGGGAGGGAAGGGGAGAGAGAGAGAGCCAGGGTTTAGGGCCGTTTAGGGTTTAGGGGGTTTTGTTAGGTCCAGTCCAGCCTAGCTTCTTCATTCTTTTTGCAGTGATAGCCGCCATCCGAACCACAGATTTGGCGTCTGCCTTATGTTTGGACCATAACATCATGAATCCGACTGGGGCCATTAGCTATATTGAGTCGAGGAGCTCCTTTCTCCATGGTCATCATCAATGCATCGGCTAGGTCATCACTGGATTCCGAACCAGATCCTTAGCGAGACGGGGCTTTCTGGGGTATAATTACAACCCTACCAAATGAGGCCTGGACCTTCGTGCGAAGTGTCTTCTGCTGTCTCTGCGAGGCCTGCGTGGGGCCATTGGTTTGGATCACATATGATACAATAAGCAAAGATTTAGATACTTAGATGTCAACATGGCAGCAAGCTTTTCAGCAACCGTAGCTTTTGCAGTGGAGCGAGACGATTCGAGGAAGCTTGCGAGCCATGTAACCCGTAGCACAAAACGTGCCTTGCCAGACGTAGCAGTGCAAAGAGCGATAACAGCACTATATACATGCTTCATTCCACAGATCGCAACAACACGGGACTATGGCTATAGCTAAGTGCTGCACCACTAGACTGCAAGGCTTCCACCGGTGCAATTCACCAAACGATTGCACTCATCTACAAAATGCATGGGCGGATGCCCCGACTCAGGATCGCTTCCTCTTGTTCTTCTTGTCGTCTTTGCCAGCAGTCCTTTTGCCCTTTGCGGGCTTCGACTCCTCGGCCTCGGCTTTGTCCCCGTCCTTGGCCGCCTTCGCCTTCGGCGTGGTGGCGCTTTTGGGGGATTTTCCCTTTTTTGGCTTACCCCCTTTTCCCCTTCGGCTCGACGGTGTCGCCGATCCCCCAAGATTGCTGCTGCTCGGCCGGAAGCTCCTAGGCTTGTTCGTGGATACAAATCACAAGGCCGATATTCATGCACAGACACACATCAATATCATAATATAGATGCACAGCGAGATTCTTGGCCCTGGCAATGTAGTTGTTCAGGGTTACATCTGTCTTCGTGCAAGTCACGAACGTATCCAGGATGCCCTTCTTCAGATCCGAGGTCTTCCTGAGTTTAGGGTTTGGAGGGTTAGAGTTTAGAGTTTAGGGCTTCGGGTTTAGGGTTTAGGGTTCGGGCGGGCTGGGGCCACTAAATATTATAATCCAGGAATCGAGCCATCCAGGTCTGTCACGGCTTCGGCCTCCTGCTCTGTCAGGGTCTTGTAAAGATTGTTCATCTGATCCAAGAGGCTCTGCATGTGGTTGGCAATCCTAGGCTAGGACACATATGTACCAGTCGTGAAACAAAGACGAATCGCAGAACCTGTAATTGAGACCAGCAACTCCGTGGCCCGTGGGTTGTTCATCTTCTTCAGCTTCTCCTCATTAATGCAAACGACTAAGGAGTGTGGGCTTTGGGCGTCGGGTCCAGTTAAAGCACATTATGTCCTGCTCGAGACATCCACTCTCGATCTTCTTTCCCAAGACCACGAGAAAGCTTGGGAGGGTCGTGAGAGGGTTGTCGGTCTTTCGGATCGTGGGGAACACATGCCTGGGCAATAGAGACATTGAGCATCTTACAACTTCACAACGGAAGTACTCAGGCAAACCCACAAACTTCGAAACCCCACACCCCGAAACCTTGCAGGACGAATGGCTTCCCCTTGGCGGCGACACCATCCGAAGGCTTGTGCTCGGTCGGATTATTCTCGGCACCGGCAACATCATCCTCCAACATGTAGCCGTCTTCGTCCTGCATAGCTTTGTTCATCTAGCTAGCCGGACTACCTAGCTCCCGGATAAGATCTTAACTTGGGCTGCAGGGATATTAAGTCTAGAGTTCAAGGGAAGGGTTTATATGTGTATATATATATATATATATGTATATGAAGCTTCACACAGGGGCTAGTAAGGGGATTAGAATTCCGGGACGATTGTTGTTGGGAAAACGGTGCCTCGACTTCGGCTTCGGCTGTCATGGTCCGGGAGGTTCCTCGTTCGGTGCGGTTGCTAAACTTCTCTTCGATGACCAATTTGGCCTCCTCAGCCTTATGCACTTCGTTTGTTCTCAGCAAGCCTTTGCTTGCTGCCCAGGCAAAGCTGTTGTCTGCCATTTGCCTCGGATACGGGCTGGGATAGTCTGTTAGGGTTTGGGGGTAGGGTTTTTGGGTGTATACTACTATATCAGACTAAGTTAGTGTTGTGGAAGCAAAGACACTTGGTGTAGTTGCACTTTTCCATCAAGTACTGCTTCGTCACCCACATAGCATTCCTTTCGGAGGCTTCCAAGTTCTTCACATACTTCTGCACCATCAAATCGATCGTCTTGAAGTCGCTGTGTTTCTCGAAGAGCTCTCGGAGCTTCTTTCCTCGTATCATTACAGACAACTTGTTGAAGTATGTGTGGGAACCAGTCAGACAACACATTAAAAATCCAAACGTAATCTAGGAACTCCCTTCCTCCGTAGAATAGAGTTGCAAGGCTTCCTTGGAGGCCTTGGAAGGTCCACTAGTGGGCCTGAAGACTCGTCTCATCCTGGGATTCGGGTTTAGGATTATTCGGGTTTGGGGGTTTTGGGTTTAGGTTCAGCTTTAGGTTTTAGGGTTTTAGGGTTTGCATTATGAGGGTTTCAGGTTTAAGGTGTTTAGGGCTTAGGGTTTCTTTTGGGGCTTATGCTGAAGAGTCTATAGAGTCGTTAAGGTTTTAGGATTTAGGGGGTTCGAGATTTAAGTTTCTTAGGGTTTCGGCTGTTCAGGGTTTAGGGACATCGTTGTGTGCCGTGGCTCCGGTAGTAGGTCTTGTCGAACTTGTCACGGCTGCATTTTTTCTTCGGGGTACGGGTACGTTTGGCTCGAGGCGACGTCTTCGAAGACTTCGTGCGAGGGGAAGGGCTCTCGGTCGGTGTTCTTTTGGAAAGATCCGAAGTCCCCGTTCCAGACCCCGGAGAGTAACCCAAAGGGATCGAGTCCCCACGGTGCTCGCCAGGTGGGCTCTTCTCGTCTGCGTCCGGCTGAGGCTTCTCTAATGGGGTGTCGGGCAAGGTTGCACAATACCTCCAAGCACTATCGAAGCTGGATCCTCGAGTAGCTTCCGGGCCTGCTGTATCAGAGGAAACTATCGGGGCTGCTGCTTGCTTCGGGTTCACAGGAGGTGCTGCTGCGGAAACTTTCGGGGCTGCTTGCTTGGGATTCACAGGTGGTGCTGCTGCGGCTGGTCGCTTCGGGTTCAGAGGCGGTGCTGCTGTGGAAACTTTCGGGGCTGCTTGCTTCGGGTCCACTGGTGGTGCTGCGGCGGAAACTTTCGAGGCTGCTTCCTTCGGGTCCACTGGTGGTGCTGCTGTGGAAACTTTCGGGGCTGCTTGCTTCGGGTACACTGGTGGTGCTGCTGCGGAAACTTTCGGTGGTGCTTGCTTTGGGTCCACAGCTGGTGCGGGAACTTCGGTACCAGAGGGTGGTGCTCCATGACGAGTCGCTGCTGAGCCTGAACAACATTTGGGCCCACTTAGTTAACAGAATACTTCGAATTTCGCTTAAGCATTGTGACCCCTGAACCTCAAAGCACCTCGTCCGGGAGGTGCCGATGCCGATCTGCCGACCTTGTTCTGCAAGGCTTCGATCCGTCGGCGGGTCGCCTCAGACGGCCAACTCGTGGGCTTAGGGTTTAGAAGCATAGGGCTTGATAGGATTAAGGGTCCAGGGACCCTAGGGTCTAGGGTTTAGTAGGAATTCGGGCTTGGGGTTAAGGTAGTATAACTATATATAAGCCGAATCGTCGATTTTTCCTGAAAAATCGACGATTCAGCTTGTGGGTTTCCACATGTGTACCGAGGTAAGGGTATTTTATTGGTCAAGGTTTTAAGTGCTTTAAGGCCCTGGGGCGATGTAGTTGGCTTCTGGTCCCCCGGCCCAAATATTTTATGGAGACATATAATTGCATCGGGTCCTATGCTCATTCAATATATAATATAAATATAACATACATATATACAATATCGGTCTTATATAACTGTACCGATACAAATATATACTTCGAAAGGAGTCAGGATATCCTCATAGCTACATATCGACATATAACGGCTAGATGTATATTGATATCATAAGAGACACATATAGCTGTTATCCGTATGTGTCTAAACACACATAAGAACTTTCTCTATATTCGTGTGTAAGATTAATTATATATATATATACATATATGTATGTGTGTGTATATTTATTAATTATAATCAAAACCTATATATATATATATATATATATATATATATATATGTATATACATACAAGGGGCTAAGCTACAGGATACCGGCTTCGAACTTCATACCGAACCTGACAAAGCCTAGATAACCAAAACCAAGACAGTGCCATCCAGCTGCTTGGATTTGCTCCTCCAAGCTCGCTTTGTCCATGATGGGAATGCCCGACTAGAAATAAAGATCTAGTGGCTTTCGAGCACTCAAGACCTGGATTCACAAGATGAGCATAAGCAATGGCTTCCAAAAGTGCACTGGTTGCTCAGAAAAACGCTCGACTGAGTTGAATCTGAGGCGATGTGTAAATGCTCACGATACATTTTTTCAAATTGCGCCTGTTTGCGGTTATTTGCGGGGATTTGCGCCCGTTTGGCGCTGTATTGCGCTACGTGTGTTTTCGTGTCATGACCTAGAAGTCGCGACAAAAACACCAAAAAACGCTCTACAAGTGGTCGGCGTTGAAACTTCTGCTCCAGGTCCTGTCTGGCACCAAAATTCAGAACCTGAGCATTTTGGGTGCTAGGTTTCCTATTGAAAGAAGAGGACAGGGCCTGGGTCCCGGTTCTGGGTTCTTCTCCTGGGGGCATACGATTCCTATTCTAGCAAAGAGGACCGGGTGGGCTACGGTTTGTGGTCTCGTGGCTCCTATTCTCCCACAAAGGACTGTGTCCGGGTTTCGGGGCTCGTGGCTCTTATTCTCGGTCCTATATATCTAAACGTACAGGACTGGGCCTCGACTGGTGTTTCTTATTCTAGCAACAATTCGGACTGGCTCCGGCTTTGGCCTGGGCTAGACTTCCTTTTTATGGGAAAGGGTTCGGTTGGTCTTACACCAGGACTGACCTAGTTGAGTTATGGGCTGTAGTTTCTATTCTATGCTCGGCACGGTTCCTACTGCAACATAAACTATAAGCCGCCTCGGCTTTTGGAAAGGGTTCTCCCTTTAGGCTTCAGTCTAGTGTTCTTACTTTCGATCAATACTTCAAACTAGTATATATATATACACATATATAGTATATATATATATACATACATATATATATATATATATATATATATATATTATTTATGGATATATATTCGGGCTTAGAACTCGAGTTCCGCGACATAAATGACTGGGCCCTGGGGCTGGCTGATAGTGATTAAAGGAGAAGTCGGGATTCCCTGTATATGTACCTCCGGCAAGCACAGGCCAGTTTACTGGCTAAGCAAGCCACGACAAACGAAGTAAGCAACGAAGCTTAGGGTTTGGGGTTTGGGGTCGGCTGGTTGCTGTTTATATAGTTAGATCGGCAATTACTTAGCCATCGCTAGCTAGCTTTTTTACTTAGCTAGGGTGTTATATCTCGGATACTCCGAAGGGATATTACTCGACTCGTATGTTCTGTATCCAGTGTGGTTCGGGTGCAATCTTAGTTGATCTCTGCTAGAGGACCGGGCATAGCCTCAGTGGGCCTGGGGACTGGTTCTTCGAGTGATTGGGCCTTCGGTTTAATAGTGTTCACAGAATGTAATTTTCAGTGGGGTTGTGGTGTGCTGGGTTTAGGGTGGAGGTTTTCCGGGAGCGATTAAGTTTTGTGCCTGAAGTCAGATCTCCCCTAAAGCACAAGATCTTCGGATTGAAGCTCAAACCAGGTGCCAAGAATCTGAAATGTAGCAAAGCTAGTCCACACCGACAAGTCAGAAAGCCTTCTTATCGAAGAACCCTTGGAAAAAAACCGAATTCGTAGTTGTAACATTTACACAACCTTATAGAACCTAAACCCAAAATAACTTTTGCCCTTGGAAGTTGACGATGGCCCTCGTACCCAAAGCCTCCTTCTTGGAAGACAATGCAAACCAAGATAATTTCATATGTACATCTACAAATATGGAACCATATAGTTATACATCTTGAAGATCGGTAGAGCTATTTAGGGGATCTATCATCCCTATCCATTATATAGCTAATTAGCCCAGAGGCAGCCGGCCTCGTCAAGCATCCTTCTCCGGAAAGCAGAACAGCAGCCGAGCTAGATCACCTGCAGTGCGGAATGCCAAAGCCGAAGCCCCACAAGAACTATATAGAAACCAAGAGATTTTAGCATTAGCCGCACAAGCCCCAAGCCCCAATGCACTTCGGCTAAACACTCCAAACCCCGACATTCTCAAACCCCTCAAACACCTCCGACTTTAACCCTGGAAGGAACCCAGAGCTTCGATGTTGGAGGAGGCATCACTGGGCTTAGGGTTTCTTTCTGGTCTGTAGCTTAGAGGATACTGCGTGTAATGAATGCAGACAAATGGCTGTCCCTCGCCATAAGACTCGAAAGTCGATGCCAGCAGTGGTAAACATATCGGTGAGTTTCGTGGCGATGAGGTTCACTCTAGCACTCAGTCGCCCATACAAGGAAGCATGCTTGTCCAGAACCACAGAGCCCTGCTCCAGTCTCCGTTCAATAGATCGCAGCCTAGCGTGAATGCGACTCACTTCTGTTCGAAGAGCAGAGCACTCAGCACGGAGCTCGGCAACTTGCTCGTGTAGCCGGTGAGTTTCGGAACCCAAAGCAGCAAGTCTAGACTGTTCCATGAACAATTTGGAGTGAGGATGTTCAGGCTTTGCATGTTAATTGTACGATGCAAAGATCAGGGTTTGGCGGTTTCAAGTTTGAGGACTTCCTTTGTAAAGGGGATGTGTGGCCATGCTAGTAGTCTGAATTGTAAAGCTATACTGAATTTAATCGTGGGGGCTAAGTCCCTATGTCGACTCTGAATCCGAGGGCTCGAGCACAAGGTTGTCGGGCACAAGCGATACGTATGCCTTTGCACATAGCAGACTAACCGATGGCCTGAACGGAGTGTTAAGGATCGAGGATACCCTTGAGCCCAGTAGGTTTACGGGTTTAGGGTTTAGGGGTTTAGGGCTTATATATTAATAGTTCATAGGCTGAATAACTCTGTTGCCTAGGATATATATTGTATAGCCGGGGCCTAGAACCCTTTCGAGCTTTGCGGCTTCCCAGTTAGCAGTAGGAATGCCACCATCATCGTCTAGCATCATGCACCATCATGCATCAACACATATCACCATCCCAGATAGAAGTGCACTTTCTCTAGATAATAATCACTTAATTTTGTTTCTCCCCATTTGTATATATATATATATATATATATATATATAAAGGGTCCAGGGACTCTAGGGTCTAGGGTTTAGTAGGAATTCGGGCTTGGGGTTAAGGTAGTATAACTATATATAAGCCGAATCGTCGATTTTTCCTGAAAAATCGACGATTCAGCTTGTGGGTTTCCACATGTGTACCGAGGTAAGGGTATTTTATTGGTCCACTATCGTTATCCCATACCAATTTAAAACCCCATCTGAAACTCTAGTTGCAGCAAAACCCAACCAAGTTGAAGCATCCAGCCCCAAAGCAAGCATGGCAGGGCGGTGACATGCTGTGCCCAAAGCAGATGCTCGAGCGGCCCAGCCCTCAACTCTGCCGGGCATCGAACTTCACCTGACGAGGGGCTCGAGTCGTGGGATCGGCGCTTTGGGGAATAAGTCCAGGCAGAGGCAGGCTTCAGGATGCAGCAAACATTCGTTTTCACAGGGGCCGGCTGCTGCATGTTCAGAAGACTGCATGGCATCACATCGTGAAGAGCCTGCTGTACTAAGCTCGCCCGTGTTCGCACGTACAAGCAAAGCTGGCTTCCACATGCATCGTATCCCTAGCACATAACTAGGCCGTATGTGCTGTGGCCCAATCAAAACTCTGGTCTAGGCAGCAGCTTCGGCATGTAAAGCTCAGTAGATCTTGAAATGATGACAGCACAGCACGATGTCCCCCGTGAGGCCGGTTCGTCGAGTGCTCGTTGTAGCTAGTCCGTCTCAGCATAAGCCTCGGATGCGAGGTTAGAAGGGCTCTAGGGTTGAGGGTGCAGGGTTAGGATGATTTAGGGTTTAGGTTTAGGGCTTTGGCTTTCGGCTTTGGGGTTTACAAGCATAAATGCTGAAACTAAACTACACATACATGTACATAATATATATATCTATATATATATGTATATCTATTATTTGTTTATATATATATGTGATATATGCATATGATATGATTACTAGGGATGGCTAAATATTAATCGAGTAGCTTTCTTGGCTTTGGCTTTGGTGGATGCAGGAGAAAGTCCCTGCTCTTCTGCGGCTTTCTTGGCCTTGTGGTAAGCACAGCTCTTGCGTGATTTTCTTGCCTTGCTTGCTGCAACATCATCGTCATCATCATCCGTTGCACTCTTGGCTGCTTGCTTCCTCGATCCTTTGCCCTTGCCCTTTGGCTGGCTGTCTCCTTCATCCTTCGGCTCCTCGCCCTTCGGCTTCAAGGCTTTTGCTTTCGGCTTTTTCGGGCTCGTCTTCGCTTCATCCTTCGGCTCCTCGCCCTTCGGTTTCAAGGCTTTTGCTTTCGGCTTTTTCGGGCTCGTCTTCGCTTCATCCTTCGGCTCCTCGCCCTTCGGCTTCAAGGCTTTTGCTTTGGGCTTTTTCGGGCTCGTCTTAGCCTTAGGCTTGCTGGCTCCCTTCGGCTTGGCTTTGGCTGCGGCAGCAGCTCCCTCATCTTCCTTAGCATCCCGATTGGCTCGCTTTCGTTTGGGCCCACCAGCTTTATCCGCCTCATCCGTGGCAGAAGGCCCAGCCGTGGCAGGGGGCTTTTTGCCGCTGCGACCACGGCCCCTGCCTCGGCCTCTTCCCCGTCCCCTGCCTCTGCCCCTGGACTTGTGAGCTTCGGCAGAATCCTCGTCCTCATCATCTGCCTCCTCGCCTTTCGTGGGGCGAGCAAGCCTGGTCTGCTCTTCCGGCGAAAGGGCTGCCAAATCTTTCAGGATTGAGGGGCGAACTCGATCACTTCGCTTCAAAGCTGGATTGGCTGGCTTGGAACCTTCGTGGTTTGGCTCTGGGTCAAATTCGTAGTGCTTCGTGTGATCATCACAGGACTCCGGTTCTGTCTCCGTGCACGATCTGGATGCTGCTTCTGGGGCCTCTGCGAACCTGCTGGTATCATGCTGGAGGCTGCTGTCGGCCATGACTTTGTCTGCTGCTTCTGGGTCTTCGGGTGCTTCTGCGATGTCGCTGTCGGGCATGACTTCATCTGCTACTGGGTCTTCGGGTGCTTCTGCGATGTCGCTGTCGGGCATGACTTCATCTGCTACTGGGACCTCGGGTGCTTCTGCGATGTTGCTTTCGGGCATGACTTCGTCTGCTGCTGGGTCTTCGGGTGCTTCTGCGAGGTTGCTCTCGGGCATGGCTTCGTCTGCTACTGGGTCTTCGGCTGCTTCTGCGATGTTGCTGGTCTCGGGCAGGACTTCGTCTGCTAGCGAAACCCCAGGTGCTTCTGCGATGCTTGCACACAGCTGCAACTCCTTTGCTGTTGGAGAAGGAGGGAACAGCTCTCTGGCAACCCTCTGCTCGTCGTGCACCACGACATCGGGCTTTGAAGCCTGCTGTTGCGATTATGCTCCAAGCACACACCCGTCTGATCCCATATTATATATATATATACACGTACATATATAGGGTTTCGGTCTATAGTTTAGCAGTTAGCCACAGCTAGGGTTTAGGGTTTAAGGGTTTAGGGGTTTAGGGGTTTGTTAGTTGTGTTGTTTAAGATAAGTTTACAACCCTACCCAGAAACCCCATGCCTCGATGAAAGACTTCTCAACAGCGACCGACTCGGCGAGGTCGTGCGGAAGCGTGTCTTGGTGATCGGCCCCTGGGCTGAAGAGGCTTCGGCGAATTGATAATATAAGGAAAAATAAGACTATAGTGTCGGGGTTCGGGGTTTTACTTTAATATAGACAAGTAGCAGGACAGGGGGTGGGGCTCCACCGGTGCAGGCACTCCATCTTGATCTTGCAATGCAGCTAACAGCTCTGTAAGCTTCTCCTCTTCTGCCTGAAGGGCTAGCAACCTTTGAAGCTCCTCAAGAATAGCCCCCTGCCGCTCCAGCTCCTCGGCCAACTTCATCTGATCAAGATCATCAGCCAAAAGTCCTGGGTTTCGTGACGGGTTTGAGCCTTGAACCTTTTCGAGGAGCAGGGGTTATCATATTAAGGTTTTAGAGCATCGGGTCGAGGGAAATATTAAGGCATTGGGTTTAGGATCCTATGGGATTGAGGCGGTTTAATTACAGGGGCAAGGACTCAAGCCTGTAAAACCACAATGCTCAATTAGCTTTCGGATCCCGCTGCAAGATCATCAGACGAAGCCCCAGCTGAGTAACTCCCGGACGGGGGAGTTGCAGGAACTTCTTTGCCACTCCCGTGCGGGCACTTCTTCACCCAAGGATTGTCCTCCGAGCTCAAGCTGGAACCACTGAGCCTGCGATCCCCCGAGGCACTGCCAACGGTCGGCTCCATGCCTGGGATGCTCAGAGGCGGGAGATATACCTGCTAAAGCATGCAGACACTTCTTATGTGCAACAAAGAGACTCAAACTGTCGCCCTCTACCTCCAACTCGGGATCCTGCCCCAAACACACATATTGGATTTGAAGGCATAATATACCAGGCTCGACAGATCAACCAGGCCTCGAGAAACTCTTTCTCGCTTTCGGCTGCTTCGGTAGAAGCTTCAGCGTCGGAAATCGAATCGAAGCTCTCGGCTCCTTGGCGGTTTGGGTGGTGCTTATGATGGAGAATGTTTGCTTACTTCTTGCATGGTTCTAATGCATCCAGAATACTCGGGTTCAGTGGCAGAGGGATGGATGCAGCTTCCCACAATCTCTGGACAGCCGCTCCCTGGGGTAATGGCCCCTTTTGGCCGATCTCGAAAAAATCGAGATCAATCTCCGAAGGGCCCAGCTTTGGGCGTGGATCACATCGCCTGGGCAATGTTTGTGTGCTCCAAAAATGCTTGCTCACTCGTACTAATGATCGCGATCGAATGGAAATTATTGCTGCCTAGGTTCGCTTAACTGGAGGCATTCCCGGAGGCCGTGCACAATGAAAAAAGCTCGTCACTTCATTGCGGATTGTGTAGATGGAGGGCCGCAGACCAAGAAATCTAATCAGCGGAATCAGAACTTCGACGTTGATGATTATGTCCGACCGCGAGAGGTATTCTCGCGGAAGGATACACAAGGCACTCGCAGCAGCACGGTGCAGGATCACTTTGTTTTGCATCCAGCCTCTCACAACTGGCGAATCCATGGACCGCCACGGGCCCCAAGGCCCAAAACCTAAAACCAAAACTAGCTTCCTCGAACCTTAAAAGCTGCCACGATCGATCTGCATTGCATGTTTCATCGCTCGAACTGAAGACACTGCACCCTGATGCAATTGCAAGGAGGGGGTGCACCTTATCATAGCATCTGCAGCGAGAAGCCCCATTGTACCTGTCGCAGGTGGCTGTGGCTTCGACTATGACTACGAGCTGTTCCCGATGATGTGCACAAACATACAGATTGAGCCAATCTTTATTTATAATTTAGCCAAAACCTATTCGATCTATATTATGTCTTATATACTATAGGATTTTATATAATACACCCGAAACCCTTGACCGGACCCAAATCCCCTAAATGCCTTAAAGCCGGGCGCACCGGCCGATCTGCTTGAAGGCAACATGCCATCGAGCTTGCATCGCTGGGGCGGATTTCGTGATTTCGGATATATGTATTAAGGTCCTGTTAACATTGGTTCAAGCTCTTTGTTGGGTCTCATTCTCTCTCTGGGGTCTGTGGTTCGCAAGCACATATGGTGCATATCATATATCGGGTATATCAAGCCATCACCCGGTATAGCCAAAGAATCTTTATATGGGGTTTAGGGCCCAGGGTCTTGAATCACGGAGATTTCATATATGTGAAGTCGGAACTATACTGGAGCTCACGACAATCGAGCAAAAGCTCGCCAGCCAACTGCCCGACGTCACGATTTGGCTGCCATCCTGTCGGTAGATAGCAATGCTTCGGATAATATACAGAATCAAGTCTAATCGATCTAGAGAAAACAAGAAACGCTCGAGACCCCAAGAAAACGCTCGAGGTAAACAAGAAGAGTAACAATACAGCGATATACGCACGTGTCCCGATTTAAGTAGCGAAACACATGGGGGGCACAAATATAAGCTACGTTGGAGGTTACAGGTTAAAGGAAGCCTAAACCCTAAGGCCTGAGCCTGATCATTGGGTCCTCGGGACCCTTGGGGGTTCTGCAGGGTTGGTATACTTTTTTATACATCACCCAGCCCCTACTGGAACTTTTGATGCCTTACTCAAAAGGTCCTAGGTACTGTTATTCCCAAATCGTAATATCAAACCCTAATATAGAAGCCACTTTGGACCCTTTGGGTTACTTAAACTTGTACTAGGATGCCCAGTAGTACCCTTATTCCCTTTTTGTAGTCCAGGTTCCTTATAAAGGTTCCTTATAAAGTTACCCAATACCAAAAAGAGAGGCCTTGTTGTTCTTAGGTTACTGGGTATCCTAGTGTAGGTCTGCAAAAACTCAGGCCCTACAGCAGCTCACTGCTGGAGTCTCCAGAGAATTATTGTGTAGAGCCCTGTCCGAAAAGTCTGTAGACCCCTTATGGAACAATTACCAAAGCTTTGTAGAGCCCTTAGAAAACCTTATTTTGAGATCATAGAACTGAACCCTACATCGCAAGCCTTCCGAAACCTTATCCCAAGCCATCGCAGAGCCCTCCCAGAGGCCCCATGGTGGTTCCTTTTTTGGGATTACCATAGAGGATTCTATATACGAACCCTTAAAAGGAACTACTTTGGGGCCTTTGGGCTTAGAAAGTCTTATCTTGAGATCATCCCGGGTCTGCTTTCGGTCGCGTTGCTTCGTCCCTGGGCGCTCGCTGGCTTGAAGAGAAGACCAGGCGCCCACAGAGTTGATCAGCTCTGCTCTTGGCTGGTGCTGAAATCCCCCAAAGTAGGTAACATAATGGCTCAAACCTATAAAGGGCGATTATTCTAAATGCTTTTGGGGTGCAGGTGAAACTTATCTACGGCTCTAGGAGTTTAGGGCTTGAGATAGGAGGAGAGCAAGAGGACAGCAAGAGGATATCGGGAGGAGAACAAGAAGAGACTAGGAGGATAAATTCATTTTAAGGCAGTGAAAACACGTCTAGAGAGGACCTGAGAAGCTCTCGCTTGGCCGAAACAATACAGCAGAATGAGATCTGTTTAATCGTGATGTTGTTGTAAAGATCTGGCGTGCGAGCCCTGATCTTGAATTTTTGACCTCATTGGAGATTTCAGGCCACACCTATTTTTTAGCAGAAAATGGGCACAGGAAGCGACGAAAGAGCGTCAGATAACAAATACACGCAATATAAGGTTGCAGCAAGCTTCATCGAAGACTGAAAACAACCAAATACAGCTGCAAAAGGACACACCAACAAGAAATGCTTCGTACAAGCACCAGGAATGACGGGAAAAGCTCTAGATTGAAAATGGATATAGAATAACATGAGTCCAGTTCAATGGAGCTACTCCCCTGTGAATCCTGCGCAGGGTTTAGGGTTTAGGGAATGTTGGGTGTTACGCTCTAACTCTATGAGGTTTCAAACTTCTCATGTGGGGCTCTTGGCCTAGGGGACCAAACCTTAGGGTAGGGTTTGGTGCCTTCAACTGTCCACCCTCTTTCCTGAACTCTTTCAGGGATCTGTATGCGATCTCTAAGGGTTTTATACCGGCTGCGTAAGGGTATACGGTTCAAGGGTCAGTATACCTTACCCCAAGGGTCCAAGTACCCAATAATCGTATACTTTCCAAAATCCCACAACCTACATAACTACCATCCTGAAATCGAGTACTTAATTATTGGGTCCTTTGGACCCTTGGGGTTACACCCGAAACCAGCATAGTTTTGTGTAAATCTTGGGCCTAAAGTACCAGCGCTGGGCCTGATTTTCGGACGCCCCGGACTTGCAAAGAAAGGCTCGGTGGTAGCGACAAGCTCGCATTCCGTGCACCTCGGTAGACACTGTTTAGGGTTTAGGCTTCAGGACCCATGGTTCAGGCTTTAGAGCAGAGGGTTGCGGCTTCAGGGTTCAGGGTTGCTTATTTAGAGAAGAAGCATGTTCATGACCCTGCAAGCAATCACAGCCAAGAGTATTACTTTACTAGGCTTTAATTTAATTGATACAGATCCGTAATCGAAGGGAGGCTTGATGCTTGAGGATCATGGACCTTAGCTACAACCTACTTACCAGGACCCATGATTCGAAAAGTAGGGCATAAGGTTTAGCTTGAGAGGGCAGGGGTACAGTCCCCTAACTAACCTAACTAGGGCTAGAAGTGCCTCCCAAAACCTGTCCTGGAAGGTCTTCGGTTCGAATAACGACCACAGCCGCCCATTAATAGCATCATCGGCGTAATCATAGGGTTAATCGCGACACACACGTGTACATCTATACAAACCTACTAGTTTTTATGTCTAGAAACACATCTTACTGCAACTACAAGAGAGGATCAGTACTGAGAAAATACCATACATACTAAGGGTGATCATGACCAAACAGTAGTAGTAATGATAACTTGCAATTGGCAATATTAATAGTAGCGATAGTGAGCGATAGTGCTTGATGGCCATAAAACCGCTAAGCATTGTTTTCTCGTTTTGCGTTCTGCCTAAATTCATTAACCCAAAACACCCTATGCACACCCTAAGCCCTAAACCCTAAACCCTAAACCCTAAACCTAACCCCTGTATGGTTCTGGTTTGCAGTTTCGAGGGCTCAGGGATCCTGACCAGCACCCATCTACAGACAGACCTTATGAGATATGAATTAGGGTTTAGGGTTTAAGGTTTCGATTTAGGGTTTAGGGTTCCTAGACTCCAATAATCCCTGAAACTTAAAACCAAATCCTGATACGGCCTTTATGAAGCAATCAAGTTTCAGGCAACTGCGAGGTGCACGCTTTCCGTGAGTGCCAGGGGGGCACCTGGCGCCTAAGCTTGAAGACGCCTGCCTCCCAAGGTCTCATCTACAGCTCTCCGTGGCACTAACTTCCTTGTAAGGGTTCCGTTGAGGTTAGTTGTGGGCTTAGCAGGATTTGCGGGGTTTTTGCGGTTCATAGGGGTTCAAGGATTAAGCTAAGGTCTTTAGAAACGACTTGCTGAGCCCAAGGGCCCAAGGACCAAAACTAAGCCTCTGGACCAGTGATTAATGCCCGCTTCCATGGCAAGGGCTGTAATGTCCCCATGGCAGAATACCTTGAATAACAACGCGCACATACCCTTAAGCCCGAAAACCCTTAGACACAGAGAACCCAATACCCCTTAATCAAGGAGTATACCTTAAATCATAATATCAAGGCCTCTATAATTTAAAGAAGTATATTCCTCAATTAAGGGGTATTAGAATCCCTTAAACCCTAAACCCCATTAGATCCCTCTAACGGAACCCTATAGATCCCTTTAAGGAAGCCTAGGTGTTGGGCTCTCTGGGGAGTCGTAGAGCACCCATGTAGAGCGTTGTAAAATGAAGCTTTTCACAGAGCTTGTGCCCGGGTTTCACAGGGCTCCTTACCGCCGGCTCCCTGATAAGTCGTAGCTCTTCAATACCCAACCTTCAAACTGTTCGGAGGTTCTTATAACATAGTAAAGTTGGAACCTGATTAAGAGGCTTGGGGCTTCTATTCGGGTTCCTGATATGAATCCGACTATTTGTGGGGTTATAGGCCCAGGGTTTCTTAATCAGGTTCCTACATTACTACTCTTGGAGTCCATGTACACAACCCTTGAGGCTTCATTCACAGAAAAACTTTCGTCCGTTATGGTCAATGGTGTAGTTGCGGTCAACTCACCACCCCCCACCCCCCTTTCCTCTGCCCTCGAGTCTTAAGCCCTTAATGCCTTAACGGGCGTTCCTTGCAGGAACATTTGTAGCTGAATTGTGCACGTTGTAAAGGTCCCTGTCATCGGCCCTTTTTGATGTAGATGTCCACGGACATGATGTCATTTACCGAAGCCCTAAACCCCTAAACTCATAAGATGATGTGAGTCTACGGTCAAGGGTTTCGTGTCCAGTGGAGCAAGCTATAGAGGCGTATCCTAAATCCAAAGCAGGAGCTTGCATGAGTCCGTCGCTTGCTTGAAAGCCTTGTGTACACGTGAGGCCAGGGCCCTTGCCTCTGGGTAGCACGTGGTCAGACCTCAACTACACCGCGTCAAACCACTCACTATGCTACACC